TTTGTCTGCATGATATCTGAATTGTTCTTTAGTACATTAAAACTAAGCTCCATGGAGCAACTCCAAAAGAAGTTTCAGATGACTAGATCAACTAGATGCACTTTTATGAGCATTACAAGATGTGCTCTAAATGTCATCCATTCTTTTGCAGACACACCTGGATTTTACACAAAAATGCCAACTACCTTTTGTAACATAACTTTTTTGCTTGTACTTTCATGGAAAGAAAGTCCAGTCCATTAAACACAATGATATAGTTGTATTGATAAAACCATTCTATATTCAAAATTATGTTACAAAAGGTAGATGCCATTTCTTGTCTAGAATCCAGGTGTGTATGCAAAGGAATACATGACACATCTTGTAACACTCCTAGTTAAGCTTGTCATCTGAAACTTCTTGTATAATTGCTCCATGGATTCTAGTTTTTATATGCCAAAAAACAAGTCAGATTTTTTGCACAAAAAAGTAATGCAACATTATGTGGGAGGGTGGCATTTTTTGTATGATGCGGTAATATGAAATTGCCCATAACCCCATGATAATGGGTAACTTTTAAGTGCAAACGCTTCAAATATTCGTTGTTGTTGTTGTTGTCAGCATTTTAATATCTATAAGGGTGTAAATAGTAAAAGAAAAGTCCCAGGGAAAATGTGATTGCAAAGATTTATGTATATATTACCACAATAATTTCCAATGATACCAACATTTTGCTGGTGAGCAACTGAATAGTATATATAAACTCCTGATATGTCCTATTTATCTAACTGTCTTCTAGTATCAAGAAACCTAAGAGGAAATCTTGCACCCATGAGAAAATCTTGCACCCATGAGACAATCTTGCGCATATTAGGCAATCTTGCATCCATGAGGCCATCTTGCACATACGAGCGTATTAGGCAATCTTGCATCCATGAGGCAATCTTGCATCCATTAAGCAATCTTGCACCTATGAGGCAATCTTGCACCTATGGGACAATCATGCACCTATGAGGCAATCTTGCACCTATGAGACAGTCTTGCCCTGTTTTACATTTCAATATGAAATAAATAAATAGAAATTTGAAAGAAATGATTTTGATTGTTGATAACTGCAACCTATTGAGGTATGCAATGGTTTGTAAGAAAATGTCTTAATTTGTCATCATGTACAAATATATAAATATACCATCAGTTAACCTCATATATCTATGCAACATGTCCTTGAAATATGAACTGGAATGTTCTTGTTAACTGCCATCTTTGAAAGAAAATATGCCAAAGGACTTTGGCAAAATAACTATCTATTCTTAGATTACCTACTTATTTTTGACTTTTGAACCGGGCTTTTGACTACTATTTTAATGATTTCAGTTACTCAACTTAAACTTATTATCTCAATCCATTCTTGTCCCTTTAAATAAATGAATACACATACAATATAGTCTATTAATCAACTCACTCAACATTTTATATCTCAGGAACAAATTCACACTTCCTTGTTTCCCCCATAGGTTTAACATGGAGATTTTTACACCTATTTTTCAATCGATATATTCGTTCATATTCCCGTAAGGGAGTATAGAAAAAATTTTAAGAAACGATTGATCTCTTATTTTTTTTCATTGTTTTGATTCAAAGCGTGGTTAAAATGATGATTGAAAAGTGAGAAAATTTTCTGGAAGAAAAGGTCACATGATCAGTTCACTAGTCGCCATACAGGAAAAAATTAATTTCAAACAAAATTGCGTAATAATTTGATTTAGAAGCAGTATGATGTAGATATTTTATTTTAACTTTGTGGAGCTATGGCCACCATACAGTCGCCATAGAGCAAATATACTGATTTTACGCGGAATATGGCAGATATTCATGGTTCCGCAGTATTTGTGATACAGGTGAATATGCCATACTCACCTGGGGTATATGGCATATTCCACAGGTGAGTATGGAATATTCCGCAGTGAATATGTGATTCATTGACAGTGAATACCCGATTCTCACCTGCAAAATATGTCATACTCACCTGCGGAATCTACCATATAGGTGAGTATTACATACCTAGCGAAGCATTTGTATGGAAGTCAATGGGAAAGTTAGCGAGCTATATCCACCGATATTGCCCGATTACCCCGATATAGCCCGCTTACCTCGTTTTGATATTAGATTTCTTTAATAACCATGATAATATCATGACGTCACGTCATTGATACAAAGTAACCATGGGAACAAAGGCATGTAATACATCAGTTATGTCACTATGACGTGAAATATGCCTTCGTTCTTGCCCAAATATAGAGCCTCCCAAGGTCGGCCTATATTGGGAGAACTCAGGCATATTTCACGTCATAGTGACATAACCTCTAAGTATGACATATACTGCAGGTGGAAACGTGATACAGAATGCCTCAATTTGGATGCAATTGACAATCGCATACTTCTGTACCACATTCTCATTGGTTAGTGTGTATGCCATATATCGCGGGTCAATCACCACATACACCGCAAGTGAATATGCCATATTCGTTGCGGAATATGACATATATTTGTATCCTGTTTACTGCGTAACAACCGAGGCTTAAAAGTTTAAATATCATTTTTATACTTATACATATGTTTAATACTATGCTACATTAAATATATGAATATGTGTATAATCGTGTTGAATATATACTCATCGTCACTGTTTTTTGTTCTGACTAGCTTACGACTAAAATACTTAAATATTACTATCATCATCACAAGAATGTATAAATATTCCCGATTATCGGGTGTGACATTAAAATTTAATTGAATTTGTAATCTTCATAAATATTTCTTACTCCATATTATTCTGTGTTTACCCATATTACTTAATAAATACTTAAACAGTGTACATGTATTTGTCTGGCTAGCTTTCAATTAACTGAATACCCTGTATTCAAAAATCCATAAAAAAATTAGAAATTATTATCTCAAGTATCAGATCTCTCAAATTCACAATATCTTGTTGATTGCACCATTTTTGATTACTAAATTGTTGATAATGCAAAAGAAAATGCTCAAGTAAATGATAATGCACTTGTACATGATACTGCATGTAAATCATAATGCACATGTACATGATACTGCATGTAAATCAAAATGCACATGTATAATATAATCACTAGAGGAGGGCATTTGTACTGAAAGGAGTGTTATCATATTTTTGTAAAATGTACTAATCTTTTAAAGTACATATGTACACTGAAAAATGTACTGACTCTTTAAGGACATTTTAAGTACATAAATGTACTGAAAAATGTACTGACATTTTTAAGGACATTTTTAAGTACACAAAATGCACTGAAAAATATCCAGACTTTTTAAGGACATTTTTTAGTACCCTGAAAAATAAACTGATATTTTAAGGACATTTTTAAGTACAAAAATGCACTGAAAAATATACTGACTTTTTAAGGACATTTCTAAGTTTAAAAATATACTGAAACATATACCGACTTTATAAGGACATTTTTAAGTGCAAAAATGTCCTGAAAAATATACTGCAATAAAAACAATTATAAGTCTAAAAATGTACTGAAAATATATAATAATATATACTTTATTTTGAAAGCTAAGCATAAATAATATACTGAAAATTCACCTCATATAGGATATTCCCATACCCAGGGCAGTTTGGCATTATGAGTAGATTATGACACTGAGGCACACCTGGTCATTTAAATAAGTTGATTAAGCACTTTAACACTTATAAAGGGATTAAAAAAGGATGTGTACGTATGGAGAACAAAACAAATGTCTGAAGTCATCAAGCTTAATTGGTTTACTATATGATCATACATGTACTTCTACTTTGCATTGATTCCTTGCACAAACAAAATATGAACACAATCCCAAATCTTTTGATTCACTCGTCTCAGAGACTTTTTTGATTATGATTGATCATAATTATAATTTTGCTCTTTGATCAATTTATTTTCATACAGTTGAAATATCTCCAGACTACAATTGGATTACATCTATATCATATGAAAACAAGAACTTCCTGATATTTCCTTGAGAGCAACAATGCCTCAATTCTAAAGTTACCTGATCAAGATGTCTAGAATTACACACACCTTGATTGCAAATCGAACTCCCCCCTATACAAATTGCTTGCTATGCCAATGCCAAGGATTTGGTGACTGGGGTTTTTATTTTTTAATTTATTCACAAACCCCCCTGCCGCGACCCTTCATTAGAGTTCCTCACATATAAGCATTTTTGTATGTATTGTACCCGTATTATATATACAATTTACACTCCCTCAACGTTTTGCAGACCTAACTCCTCCATCGAATTACGTTTTTGACTCTTCATGTTTGAATTCTTCTTTATAAACTCTGTAAAGAAAAAACTAGATCTCTTCCAATTTTTTCTCGCAAAGTGCTGAATTTGGACCTTGGATCTTTACGATCAACAATGTTATCGGTCTCCAAAGTCAAACATTTTCAAGAAACTTCTTCCATTGAAATTACACAGGAGGCAAGGTAAAATAAACATTTTACATGCAGTTAGACAATTTAATTTTCTGTATTTAGAATATTTTTGGTGAATATTTCACTGAATAGATATCCTGAAATCTGATTTGCTCCAAACCCACCATTTTGCATGAATGGATTATTTTCAAATATTTATCAGTCATCAATTTTTGACCTATTGTAATTTAGGGAAAATTTGTAGGTATAGGAGAGTCAAGTTACACCTTTATCAAAAGGATTTGCATTGCAGGTTATAAATAAAAGTTCAATTATTAGGAGGCTTTAACACATAGTCCAATGGGGAGCTACATGTAACATGTGGTGGGATTGTCTATTTTTGTGAAACATGATTTGTGGAACATGATTTTTATTATACTAAACTATGTACTTAAAAATCAGTACATTTTTATACTTAAAAAATATACTTAAAAAGTAAGTACATTTTTCAGTATATTTTTGTACTGAAATTTGCACTTAAAAAGTAAGTATATTTTTCAATACATATATATACTGAATTTTGTACTTTTAAAAAAGTAAATACATTTTCAGTATATAAATATACTGAATTTTGTACTTAAAAAATTCAAAAATGTAATGAAAACGCTCGTTTCAGTCGAAATGATGCCCTCCCCTAGTGAATGTGCATGTTGATAAAAATACTCATGTAAAGGAATGTGTTCTTGTAAACTAACCTTTCTTCTCAAGCTAATTCAAAATAAATATTTTTTTGGCTGGAAATTGTGCCTTCACAGCAGTCTGGCATAAAATAATAAAAACACAGGAATATATGAGTTAAATCAACAGATCTTCTAAGTGACACACAAGACGAGGTCAACTGAGAGTGGTCAAAAAAAAATCATATAAAAAATGAATTGGACAGTCCACTCCTGGAAATTCAATCAAAAAAAACAATAAGCATTTCGTAAGACTAGTAAATACCGGTAGTTTAAATGAGTTGCCTTAAATGACACATTGTTCAAAATAGATAGTTCTCAGTATGAGGTTACCTAAACACCCATTCTTAGTAAATTGGCTCTAATCTTCTTCTGTTAAAGGATCTCCCATAGCATCAGATGATGGCTTGTATCCCATTGGCATATCTGCCCAATGTTGACGTTCACCTGATGCAAATATGCCAAATACTATTGCACCAACTATATATATTCCACTCGCTATGTAGAACACAATCCTCCATTCATCTGCAGTCTGTAAGCAAAAATAAATCACTTAATGTGGTAAGATCTTTGATGCATCAGGCCCATAGCTAGGGGGGGGTTCAAACCAGGTTCCAGCGAACCACATTCCCACCCCCCTCCCCCGCCAAAAATCTGTTCAAAATCATGCAGTTTTTCACAATTCTTAGCATTTTTCATGTGATTCTAAGTCAAAGTGAACCTGGAATGTTCCTGAAAAGTGAACCCCCTTGTATTGGCAATAGCTAGTTTTGGGCCTGAAGCATGAATGCTGATGGGACTAAGAGTTCATATTTAGTGATTCACTTAACATGGAATAGATCTATAAGGGACAGCAAAAAATTGGGACTGAAAGCAGTGTTCAACAGACCCCCATCTGTATTATTATAAAACACTGGAATATACACATTATCTCTCACCCATTTATTGTAATGTGTTGTTAAGATATAAATAAATAAGAATGAATATATAAATAAAAAAATAAAAATATGAACACTTAAGAAAGGTGTTCACATCATCGGAAGTAAGTCGCCCCGCCCTCTTATATTCTGCCTTTATTAGAACTACTACTTTTATATAGAGAATATAAGAGGGGGGGGGGGTGACTTACTCCCCATGCTTCACATATGATACAAACAGTTGAGTCACTTTTACAACATATGCTTAGAGAATGGTACCTACCCCGTGTGAAACTATGTGTCCAGTAAGGCTGGGAGAGATGATACCAGGTATAGTGGCCACTGTGTTTGAGATACCTAACAGAATGCTAGCAAACTGGAACATACAAAAATCAACGATTGAGTGAATGGATATTTTACAGAATGATTACACTAACTTCATGACATTTTCTACTGATATGAGTTCAAGCTCTAAAATATCTAGAAAACTTGGTTGACATCTTAATAGATTGGTTTTAAGGGTCCAGCTAAATACTTTTCACCATTAGTAACCCCTGTAATGGGCCACTTCTTGAAAAATACCAGCATCTCGCTTAGTATGACCCATGTAATAGACTTACTGGTAAACAGAAAGAATATTTGAAGTGTTACATGAAGCATGTTAGCGATTGTGTCCTACTGTACACAGCTCACTTACCTGGGGGGCCACATCCAATGGGTTGACATTAAAGCCTGAGTAGGAGAAACCACCAATTGCTACAGCTAAAGTCATACAAGCTACAGCTGGGCCAGGAGTCATGATATAAGCTGCAGTCACCAGGAACACAGCTTGGAGAATAAATGCTGAAAAACATTTGTACAGTTTAGAGTTTCCATTTCCTATTGTAAAAACATGTTCAAAAATGTCAATCTCCACCAGTAAATGATATTTACTATGATAAGTTTTATACTTAGGCCAAATTTGCAAACATATCTATTCACCTTGTCAAAATTGCCAAAAAGCAAAATTATAAAATTCCATCTGTTTTTTATTGCCAAAATTAGCCAAATTAAATCTCATTTTGCTTTTCTTTTATCTTTTAAATCAGCAAAATTAAATCGTTGCCAGATTTTCAAAAATTCTGAACAAAAACAAATTTAAATAGCGTGAATATAAATAGAAGTACAGTATTTGATTTTGCAATACACTAAATGTATACCTCAAAATATTTATTATATGATGTTAGATTGTAGGGTATGACCCCCGAACCAGTATCATTCATATCATTCAACCCCTGGCTAAAACTAAAAATTCTTCCAGAAAACAAGCAGTTTTCACCATATTGGGACCAAAATTGTTAAAAATTTGAACCCCCTGAAAGTAAAAAAAAAACTGATCCCCCATGGGCCTGATTCCCGATTACATACTAGAAAAATCCACAAAGAAATCATAAAATAAATCAGAAAAATAACACATATTTATATATGGGTCCGAGTTGTCCAGGGTCCGAGTTGTCCTGGGTCCAAGTTGTCCGGTTACCATGGATAGATATACATTTTAAAAGTCTCTGAAGAAATCAACAAAAGTAGGTCTACATTTTAAGGAGATATCAGCCCCCCCCCGATCAGAGCCCCCCCCCCAGGTACGGGCTTGAGCTAAAAGCATTGTAGAACTCAATAAGAGAGACTGATGTCATGACAACAGACTAGATGCGAGTAGATATAAACTTGATTTACGGCATTAAATATTCAGAATTTAGTGATGTCATATTTGAAATCTACAAATAAAAATACATCTAGAAAAAAGGTTACAGAAATAGTTTATCAACTTTAAAAATTCAGTTTTTTTTGAAAATGTAATTTCTAGTTCGGGGAGATTCCCCATAGAGCCCATGTTCACGGGGTACCATCGAATAATTTTGGCAACGTACCGGAGAATGACATTTTACTAAGAAATGGCAATAATTTAGCACAATATATTTTTTAACTAGAGTTCTATTTTGATTTTGACAAAAGTAAGTATTCCATGCAATGGCTATTTCATTCATGAGTGTGTAGGAATTCTGTTGGAACCCAGTTCTGATCAAGTACGTAGTTATTGAAATCGGCGCAGACGGACTTTACTCCGAAAGATGGTTTTTCGATTATAACTTTTCACAACATTTAAGTATAGACTTTTGAAAAAAGTACAGAATAGTCCTTATACTTTTGAATAATTCTGTTATTTCTGATTCACACGACTCTGATTTGTTTAATTAAAAAAAAAGTTTTAAAAATATTACTTAGGAACGTATACTCGGGGTGGAAGGTGTGAGAATAATGCAAAAAATGACTTTATGAGCTGGATGGAATTTCTGTGTATTTTTCATTCTATTGGGGTCTTCTCCACAAGATATTTCGCCTGCGAAGCATATAACTCTTGCGAACATTCTTAAACACTGGTCAGAAGAAGACATACCTTGAATTTTGTAGAGAAAAATGGCTAAAATTGGAAACTACAAAAAGTCAAAAATGCTCAACTCAAACAAAGTTGTAGCTATTCAATATTAATACTATGTATTATTTGATGCTTTTTAAATGTTTCAGGACCTTCATGAGTATACTAGTGTCTATAAATAAGACATTTAAGGACAAAATTTGGCATTTTCTACGCATTTTTGCTTTTAGCAGTATCACATAGTTTCCCATAATTATAATTCTGTGTTGGCAGAGTGGTATATTTTTAACTGAATCTTTTCTATAACATGTCTTCTTCAATTTGAGGTATAGAAATTGTATGTTGGACAATGTATGTTCTTAATAGCGGTGCAAGATCTCCCCTACCCCATTTCTTAAAAAAACAGCAAAAAATATAATGAAATGGATAAATTCAAATTATGACTTCAAAAAGTTGTGATTATTATTGCATGTTAATAGTATGTATATTTTAAGGCTTTTCAAATGTCAAGAACATTTATAAGCACACTTAGATCAAGAAATGACAATGAAATGGGCAAAATAGCCAATTTTTCACTTTCAGCACTAACACTTTGTCGTTTACATTTTTAGTTACATGGTGATTAGTTGATATATTTTATATCATTTATACTTCATTATGTGTCTCTATTATAGTGAGAGCATGGGAAGTGTGTTAAAACACAAATGTTCATTTTAGACATAAAAATGCTCCCCTACCCCATTTTCAAAAAATCACTCAAAAATAGAATAATACATAATCACTTTACAATATCACATTTCCTCTCATATGCTCAAAGAATAGCCAAAATAAATGAAAATGATTGTTGACATCTCCTGATCTCTATGTTACAGATGATTTTAGTCATTTTTACAAGTAAAGGTCTACCGTATGCCATCCAATTTCACATATTTCAGATAATTAAAATCTTTATCTCTATCAAAGTCATTCTAATTGTTCTGAGAAGCTCATCCTATCCTAAAATGTTGACCAATAATGCACACTTGTCTTGTTGATTGCCACATGGACAAGCAGCAATGCACTCTTGATTTGCAACTTTGCATTTGCAATTTCTCTGACAGAGTAAACCTTGGCTGCTTTTTGCCATTTTGCATTTGCAAATTGCCAGGGACATACGTTTCTTGTCTGGCTTTGATGGTTTGGTCATAAGTACTGGTACAAGAGATCCATCCTTGATTTCTCTTCCAAAATGTATTGCACTTGGGAGATTCATAGTAGTTTTATATGCTAGCTTGAATATTGCTAGTTGGTACATAGCCCTGTGTGTATGTTGAAGGAAGGCATCTTCAGTAGGGGGTAGGGAGCGGAGGTCACTTTTAGAATTCGCAAATACATGTTCTCGTAATGTATCAAGAGATTTGAAATGTTCTCGCCCATAAAGGCTTGCAATGACAAGACGAGATTCATTTACAATATCATCTGTGACTTTGACTTCATCATCGGGAAACTGCATCAAAGTAGGTATGGAGTTGTTTTTTATAAGTTCATAAGTAACTTTCAGAGCTCTTTTTTTACCTCTGTTAAAAAGGAAGCTCACAGTGTCACAACCTGTTAGGCAGTATACTGCTATTAAGCAGTTTGCCACTTGCTTTGGTGTTTGGCCTAGCTGCTCTGACAGTTTCCATAAAACTTCACTCAGAGGAATGTAGAGTCCCATCCTATAGCACCATAGTGATGCTCCACAATTAAAACCATGCACCATTGCAAGCAACATTACATCTGTATCATCGGATTGAATACAGATACGCTTAACATTGAATTCTGTGGCACTGTAGTAGGCATGGGCCATAAGGAGAGTGTCCGCTTCTTCATGATCTGTATTTGATAGGTCATCTATTACTGTAACTGCATCTGTTGATATCAATCTTGCTACTCTCGATGTTGCAACTATCAGTTTTGTTTGACCAAGTTTTGCTGTAGCATTTGGTTTCATCCATTCTCTTGCAAGAAATTCCAAGAGGTTTTCTTTGTTTTTATCATTACTCATTAGTTTTGTCCAATCAGGTAACAATAGTGACTCAGCTGGACAATATTCAGGAGCAATTCCGGTTCCTTTTCTTCTCATTCGCTCATCTTGTTTTATACTCTCATTTTTTGGGACATCATATCTATCGGCAACAAAATGTATGATATCGCATCCTCTTGGAGCTAGTTCCAATATTTTGTCCAGATAGGCATCTTGTAGGTCTCCAAAAGTTCCTGCACCTAAATTGCGATATCGCTGAACAAAGGACATTGCATCAACAAGATAGGAAGTTTTATCTGGTGATTCTGGCAATGCATGTGTTCCTTCAGAGTCTGTATCTTTCATAATATTATTGAAGAATTCAGATTTTGTACCCTTTCTCATGATAGGTTTTCCATTTTCTTTACCAGGTTCAAAGAGTGAAGAGGGGGAACTTGTCCATTCATGGCTGAATGCCTCTTGTCTTGATTGTACACTCTGGTCTGATGCTACGAAACAAAGTGTCCTTGTAACATCTGCCTCATCTTTGTAAAGTTTAGTGATTGAAGACTTTTTTGTTGTTTGTGTAGATTTGCTAAATGTTGTTATATCAGGAGACGTTATCTTCGTTGCCTTAGCATTCTTGGCTTCCTTGATTGCTTCAATGGCCTTTTCTGCAACAAATGCAAGGTCAGTTGACTTGCATTTCTCTCCAGTAGAAATGTTCAACAGTGAATTGTTATCACTGCAATCAGCATCAAATGGATTTATCATATCAGTAAGAATAGTTTCCCGTATTCGTTTCACACAGTTCAAATCCTCAAGGCTTGACTTGTCTGTATCTACAGTCTCTCTGTAATTGAATGATTCCATATGGACCATCGCCTTGACATCTTCTGAAACTGCAGTCAAATATGGTACAGTTTTTATGTATTTGTCTCTTGCTGCTGGCTCCTGGGTAATTCCCTTGAACAAAACAGATTTTCCATCTTTGTTGTAAGTTTGTTCCAGAGCAAGATCAGTCCAACATCCATTAAAGGACCCTTCTGTACGGTGTACCGTAAAATTACCATCCATGAATTCCTTATGGGTATTTGGGTGACTCTCTGGCAATGCATTCATCTCTGCTAGATATTGTGGAATACATGCCATATAGTTACGGTGCTTTGCAGCAACCATATATGGCAACATCTGCTCCACTGCGTTAAGGTGACCTAGCCAGTCTCCTGCTCTTTCTGCCTCAATATGCCGGAGAAGAATCAAGGACATGTTGATAAACTGGTCCCAATATTTTCCAGTTAATGACAATTGTGCTGTGAATTCAACCCATGCTTTTTGAATGTCATCGGAGTTAAGAATTTCAGCTATGTCTTGAACTAACTCATTTGTTGGAGTTTCAGCAAGCTTCAACAGGAGTTCTGCCATTGGTGAAAGTATTTCCTGAGTGTCATCATCCACTGATATGAATGATTCAAACGCATCCCATTTTAGAGATAACATTGCTTCGCAAACCAAAGAGAAACATCTTACCATTTTGTAGTAATCCTTTCCAGAAATCACCTTGTTGGCTGTTCCGCGTTTCACAATTGTCGCATTTTCCAAAATATCCTCAATCCCACCATCCTTCATGAACTTTCCAATTGCCCCGCCATGGTTTGTTGTGATATGGAAACCACCAAGCCTCATGATAACATTGCCATAGATATCAGGGAATTTGACAACCAATCCCTTCATTATGTCATATATGGCTTGATCACTGGTTATAACTATATCTTTCTGGCCAATCCTTTCTGCAGCATTCATGAAATACCGTACTGATTCCTCCACAACCTCAGGTTTTGTTGGGGACTCTGGAAACATCGAACCATACCCAATTGTTGTTTTTGGTTTGACAAGATTGATCTCTGTATGGAATCCCTTCCAAGTAGGTGGGTTGATATTGGCATCCTCCTTAGTCAGTAGCTTAGTAGGAAGCTGGAGCTGGGATCGTAACCGGAGCAGATCAGTTGAATTATTTAATCAAAAAAATTAAAATATATAATTTAAAGCACATATACTAATTTAAAAACATACGGGATTGTTCGAATGCGTATTTATTAATATATATGCTTTAAATGATATATTTTATTTTTTTAAATTATATAATTCAACTGATCTGCTCCAGTTACGTTCCCAGCTCCGGTTACGTTCCTAAGTAATATTTAAAAAAATTTTTTTTAATTAAACAAATCAGAGTCGTGTGAATCAGAAATAACAGAATTATTCAATAGTATAAGGACTATTCTGTACTTTTTTCAAAAGTCTATACTTAAATGTTGTGAAAAGTTATAATCGAAAAACCATCTTTCGGTGTAAAGTCCGACTGCGCCGATTTCAATAACTTCGTACTTGATCAGAACTGGGTTCCAACAGAATTCCTACAAACTCATGAATGAAATAGCCATTGCATGGAATACTTACTTTTGTCAAAATCAAAGTAGAATTCTAGCTAAAAAATATATTGCGCTAAATTATTGCCATTTCTTAGTAAAATGTCATTCTCCGGTACGTTGCCAAAATTATTCGATGGTAGCCCGTGATGTTATAAAATCACAAACAAATAAATATATTTCATTGTAATGGCCAGATAATATTTTCTTTAACTGGACATATTTTAATTTGCATAGATACATAAGGATGGTATGAAAATTGAACTGCTAAAACAGATGAGTATAAGGTTAAAGGGAACTTTCTCCTATACCCGCCATGCTATCTGACCCAAACGAGCCACCTAGTGGTGAAACTGGTAACTACCTACTCGCATCTGAGTCATTGCAAATTCTAAATTCTACAATCTTGAAGGCCGGCTAAGACAGCTTTTTGCCAGGGACAAAAAATTTCAGGGGGGTTCACATTTGACAACTTTGTCTCAAAATCACTTGACAAGTGCTCAGAATGGTGAAAAGCTGTATGAATTTAAAATAACTTTTAGCCAAGCTATGGGGCTGCCTTATAATTTAATAATTTGGATCAGGTGTCTCTCTCCAAAGCTGGCAAATATTTATTGCTAAGAACCTTTAAGAAGAATTAATGCAAAGCATAAAGTCTATGACCCCCCCCCCCTACCCCCTTCTACTTTTGGGAATCACAGAGGCATAACATGATAAAAGATCAAAAATTAGATAAACCACAATTATGAAAGTTCCAACAACATCCAGGGAAGATAATTTGATCTATAAATACCTTCAAAGGTAATAATTTGCATTTAAAGATTCCCAGGTGTGATTCAATTTAAACAAAGATCATTGTCTCTGCCTTGATCTTGAAATAACTGGAGACAAAAGTCTGACTATTTAAAAAGTTCTCTTTGATGACAGAAGCAGGATTGTTGACACCTTGGGTATAAAACAGATCTCAAATGAGATTAAATATTTATTTTCTATGCAAATTAGATCAGCTGACCAATTAGAGTCAATTAGAAAGTTAATCCTGTGTCTACAAATGCCACATTTTGGGGAAGTGTGTCTCAGTTCTATGAGACAGTTCTAGAAGCAAACAACTATCAATACTGAGCAAAGTAGTTTAAAAGTTGAATTGATAAAACATTTCAAATTATTTAATTGGTGGACTAATCTTGAATCGGATACTGAACCACTGAGTGTTTTGTGAAAGAATAAGTTTGGATCAAGAAGCAAAAATGGACATGGAATCTAACAGTACCACAGAGGGTCACGGGCCAAAGTCACCATACAATTTGCGCAGTTCAACACAACGATCAAGCCAAATTACCAAAGAAAAACTGCTGGTTCTTGGATCAATCAGAAAAACGGAACTTCAAGAACAAAAGGCTTGGAAGCAGCTCTACAAAGCATTGCCTGAGAGTATACACCCAGAACAATTCAAATACAGGAATGAAGCGTCTCAATTGGAACTGCTGGAAATTGTGCTGGATTATATTGATTCCCTTGCGATGATTTTGGAGAACAATCCAAAGAGGATGGAACATAATGTTTGTCCATTGCCTGATGGTGAACCTTCTCTCCATCAACGAACTCTTACTCAATCTGAAGAACCACTAAGACACCAGCCAGGGAAGGAATCAATATATGTGTCTCAAGAACCACTGAGACACCAGCCAGGGAAGAAATCACAACATGATTCAGAGAAAACAGAGACATTCTACAGTGATCAAACACAACTCAGTGTTCAAACAGCTCCTAGTATCCAGCCATACCCAATGGAGGAAATATCCCCCAGGATTGAGACGGATTATCCCAGGACCGAGACGGACAGCCTCCCTGGCATATGTACATTCCTCAGTTCACATTCAACAGTGTCTGCTATCCCACAATGCAATCTCACAACAATGTCTGCCATCCCACAATGCTCGTTTACACCACTGCCAACCACCGGACAATGCACACAAACAATGCCTGCTATCCCACAATGCCATCTCACAAAAGAACATGTTATCCCACAATTCAATCGCTCACGTCTCAATGCTGAATCAGACAGAATCCTACCCAGGAGTCGACTAAATGGCACTTCAGAAAATTTCTCTATGTACACTAACTTGGTAGACACTACATTGAATGCTCCCAATGTATCGATGGACACTACACCAAATGCTCCTGATGAGGTATTCCTAATGGAAACTGAGTGTCACGATGATTACCAAAGCTGGGAGTCCCTCACTCCGACCTTAACCGCAATAACACGCAAGATGTTCAACACTGCAAGACCCTTGAAAGTCCCAAGCTCTACAGTGACGACCTCCTTATCACAAGACAATGTCTGCTCGCAGGAAGTGTGCCTGGACTCAAGTTTGCTGATCTGGCCAGAGGGCCTACCCAAGGGACTTCACCCCATGGACATAGACTACAGTGCTATCACTGATCTGGACATGGATGTATTTCAGGTAAGATTATATGTAAGGTATATGATTATTTGTAAGTTACAAGATATGTAATATGATTATATGTAGTCTTGCCTAGGACTGTGTATTCCCCCATGTACTTCTCAACACAAGGTTAAGTTTAAGTACACGGGGGGTACACAGTCTTGAGGAAAGACTTATGATTACGGTATATGCAAGGTATATGTAATGCAATTTATCATCTGAATGCCAGAAGTTACTACGAAGATTTTCATCATGTTTTACTTAAGAAATAACAACAGTACTGAGCTAGCATCACCCCCTCCCCTCACTATTTCTCTTATGAGTGTGTATGTGAGAGAATGGATGAACAACACAAAGGTTTCATTGACAGACAATATAAACAATTTTGTACAATGAATTTAGTGCTTCAATTTTCCATTTCAGGACTGAGAGCCATAGCTGAGGGAGCACTGCAGAAACAATTCTTATAAACACTGCTGAATACTACTTGTAAACACTGTTGAACACTTCTTGTAAACATCGCTGAATACTTCTTATAAACACTGCTGAACACTTCTTGTAAACACTGCCACATAAACAATGCCAATCGACAGTGGATATTTCTTCACATGGACAATCTGATATGGATTCACAAAAGCAGGAACTTGAATAGGACATAACAACTTATCTCCCCTTTTGGACCCCTTTGATAACAACAACCAAAATTAGTACACAACACATGAACATGAATGCTTGAACTGCCAACTGGATTACATACAATTCCTATCAAAAACTGCTTAACACAAAAGTAGTATATGACACTAGCTGCTGAATGCTTTACACATTATGATTATTTAAGGGACATTTCTTGATCTGTAATGAACACTAGTAATATTACACAGTTGTAATATTAAATGAATATGTTAAGATCCTAAATGAATACTTGTGTCTACAGATATGTGAAACTAATCTGCCAATATTTTTATTTGTCAAAATTATGAAATGACTTGTGAATCATGATACTGCTCAACTTCTTACTAGTGTATAATGTCAAAAATACTCAGTTAAAATCCTAAATGAATACTTGTGTCTACAGTTATGTCTCTGCCAATATTTTGTCAAAATTAAAAAAAACACTTGTGAATCATGATACTGGTCAACTTCTTCTACTAGTGTATTATAACTGTCAAAAATACTCAGTTAAAATCCTAGATGAATACTTGTGTCTACAGATATGTGAAACTAATCTGCCAATATTTTGTCAAAATTAGGAATACCACTTGTGATCATGATACTGGTCAACTTCTTCATAGTGTAAAAAAATGTCTCAAAAATACTCAGTGTGTATGTACATTTAGTCTTGCAACAACTGTACTGTTTATATTCATGTACTTGTAAATATGTAAATAAAATATTTTTTCATTAAATTCTATTTTTAATTAATGATTTTAATTTTATCTATAAAGATTCCTTCCATGGCATTTCCCTCTTCGACCTTTTTTCGTATCCACAGTGACTGGTTCCCAATAGTGAGGCTATGAAAACACCAAATAAAAGCCTGTGCTAACATACCATACACCGTTAACTAACTGCTTACCTGCACCAGTGAAGATTTTCCTCACTATCGTTGTTGATAGGTGGTTCCTGCGGAGGTAGTCAGCCAACTGTCCCGCTGAGATCACCACAAAGGCAAGAACAAGATAGGGCACAGCTGCCAGGAAACCAGCCTGGAGTAAAAAACAACAGACCTTTCCAATATACCCTACCACCTTTTGGTAAATGAAATAATCTATGATATATTGGCTAGATTGATGATGTCATTGGTTGTAGGTTGCAATTTCTCCAACAAAAATAGGATAAACTTAGGCTTCCTGCATTAAGTTATTGCTAATTTTAAAACGACAACATATGACATCATTAATCTAGCCCATATATCAAAGTTTCTTTGATTTACCAAAGGGTGGCATGGTTTATTGGAAAGGTCTGTTTATATAATCTGCAATTCTGATACAAGTAACAAACATCCCGATTCCTCTATTACGTTGTATAAAGAACTATTTTCATGAGCTTCATCCAGGGGGTGAAGGTTATGCGGAGGCAATCAGCCAATTGTTTGGAGAACTGCCTTAAAACTTGCTGCATTAATTAAATCAAAGATCTTCGAAGCCAAATGCATTTTAAAGCTATCTATGGTGCTACTGTGCATTGTCAAAAGTATACTGAAGTGAAAAATGTTCTCCTTAGGCAATTTTTCTGTTCTGGATGATTATTTTTTGCTTATTATCATGTTACATTTTTCTTCTGATGTTCAAAGTTATTGAAGTATAAAATAGCCCCAGTTTTTAACAAAAGACATAGCTCACCTCTTGTAGATTGAAAAGCAGCGCATCCTTCATGAATGTGGGCATCTCAGTAAGTAGGGTATAGTAGCCCCAGTTTTCAACAAAATGGGCAACTACAATTGCCCATACGGGTCCAGATGTAAATATAGCCAGCCATGGAATGGTTTGTTGCTGGAGAAGAAACATGTACATGTATTGCATTTATATTTATATTGCCCTGAGACCTTGTGACCCACTTCTTTCTCTACAACATATGGAAGGGGGAGTTAAGGGGCTTGATGCGATACTATAAATAAATGTATAACAAACGACCAGAAAAAAAACATAAAGCATACCTTCTTCTTCAACTTATTCGTTAATCATAATTCTCAAAATTTGATGATGAAAAACTTATTGCCAACTTATTGTCAGAGATAGTAGAAAGATATCGCTAATTTAATGGATGTTCCATCCTTACTGATTACTGCAGGATTGCTGATCATGAATTGCTAGAAATTAATGATATTAACTGACAAACTATGCAAATATCATCATCTCTTTATTTTCTCCAATTTTCAAATGTGGCGATGCAAGTCATATTTCATTCTTTGATCCAATACAAGATTAAGAAAAGACAATTTCTGCTGTTGTTAAACTTGACAATCAATCAAAAAATCAAAAAAATACATTTAGTTATAGAATCCACTGGTTGCATTGAATTCCACTTACTTTTGCTTGCTTTCCACTGAATCCAATATTTTGATGGATATATTCTAATTCCTCAGTTGTAATGGAGGGATGTTCTGCAGGACTATCACTCACTATGAAAGCCCAGAGAACAAACCAAACTATTGCTACTGTACCTACAGATAATTAAATTCAAACCTATAGAGTAAATGAACATCAGATGTTGAAACAGACACCAAGGTTAGAATAGTTAAAGTCTAGTTATAAACTACCCTCTGCCTAATATAGACTATATTACAGTTAAGCAGCCCCACCCCAAAGATTTGTCCCTCTGACAGCCCGGGTAATAATCATAATGATAATAATCGTAATGTCATAGGAGATGACCATATAGAAAGTCGTCTGTATTTCAAAGATGAACTCTGATTGGCTCGGTGAGATCGGAGATTTACTGAAAGAGTGAAGACGAAGCTCTCTTTTAAGAAGTGAAGTCGAACGAATGCAAAGGGTAAGATAAACAAAGTTGTAATTCTACAAAATAAATCAATGTGTAGAACACTAGGCACAATGATTTAGAGCAACTGGTATTGTATTGCATTCTGGTATTGCTTTATGTATTGTATTGCATTGTAACTAAATTATATTGTATTGTATGCCACTACATTGTAATGCATTGCATTGCAATTGTATAGTATTGAGGTTGAATTCTGTATTAACTTACCAGAAACATAAAATACAGACTGCCACCCTAATGTCTTTGCTAATACACTAGAGATAGGGAGAGCCAACACTGTTCCGATGTAAGAACCTGAAAGTAAAAAAGAAGTGAAGTACAAAGTAAAGACAATATAGCACTTTTATAGGGTCTAAATATGGAGGGGAAAAGCAAGTTTTCACGCTCTTATTTTTTGTCTTATTTTAGGTTTCAGTTCAAAGGCTCAATTTCAGTACTGTTTGCCTATTTTAATTTCTTGTACATTTCTGAAGAAAAATCCTTGAAATTGTGCAAAATTAAAGGCTCAATTTCAGTACCTTTTGCCTATTCTGTTAATGCCTTGTACATTCTTGAGGAAAAATCCTTGAAATTATGCAAAATGATTTTTCACATTAGTCTAAGTCAGTGATCGGATCAGAATAGTTATAGACTGAGATGGAGACAAAATACAGAGTGTTGATTGGTTCATACAGGTCCCATATTGCAACTATTTTCTTTTTACCTTTGTATTCAATTGGGCAAGTAAAGACCATAAAGGGGAAAAATATGCCCTTGAGAGAGAGATAGTAGTATTGCATGTTCAAGTTTTTCAAAACTGTGAAAACTTAATATATACATATACATGTATGAGCTCTTTAATATAAACATTTACATCCTTGTCACACATGGTTATGTACTCACCTGACATAGTGATTGTTGTCAGTTTGGAACGTTCAAGTTCTGGTGCCCAATTGCGCCATATAGCTATCATAGCAGGGAATGTCATTCCCTACAAATAATAAACCATATTATCATCTCTATTGTGTTTATCATTCTGTGATTGGTTAGACACAAGTCAGGCCCGTAGCCAGGATTCGCCAAGGGGGATTCACTTTTTGAAAAATTCCAGCGGGGTTCACTTGTGACAATTGTGGTCCAAAAATGGCCAAAATCACTTAAAAAGTGCTCAGAATGGTGAAAAACTGCAAGATTTTGAAAGATTTTTGGCCAGGGGGGGAGGGTCAATCAAAATATTTCCAACACTTTCAAGTGAAATAATATTTCCCTCACCCTCTGGAATCAAGAATATTACTTATGCAAGATGCATATTTTTATTATGTCATTCCTCAATCTGTGCAATTCCATTCTCAGAAAGAAAACTCTCTCAAACCCAGCTATTCATATCTTTACTACATGACCTTCCTGTACATGATATATTGACAAATTCATATATACATGTACAATGTCTGAAACAATGTAGTTTATTTTAATTGTAGTTTATAGTAATTAATTGTAGTTTATTCTAATTACATAAATAATCTACTTGTAGTAAAATAATCTACTTTATAATCTAACTAGACAACAGCAACGCCAAAGCGTAGCAAATCCCATCGAACAGCCATGGCTGACATTTTTACAAACAAAATATATAGCAAAAATGGCAGCAATTTTTCAAAATGGCCACTTTCTACCAAATGTGTCATTAGACAGTGTGCCATGCTTATAGTATTCACATACAAAATATGAACAAAATCGCTCCACTACTTTTCGAGTTATAGTAAAATACATTAAAATGGCGGCAATTTTTAAAAATGGCCGCCTTCTACCAAAAGTGTCATTGGACAGTGTGGCATGCTTATATAAGTATTCACATACCAAATAATTTTAATGTCCTATATAATTTTTTTACATTTAAAACATATTGCTAATTACATTTTTACATATTGTACCTAAATTACAGTAAAATCGGCACTAAAATGGCCACCATTTTTAAATGAGAGGCCATTTTGAAAATCCACTTTCGAGCAGAACTTCTACCCCCATAGGATATATGTGTACAAAATATGAACAAAATCGGGCAAACGGTATTTGGGTTATTGCCCAGATGGACGGACAGACAGAGGCGTTCCCTTTATCCCTGTGAACTTCGTTCGATGGGATAATAAATGATGAATGTACCTCACATAGGCCCATTAATACTCTCACTAGAATCAACACATCTACACTAGCAAGGGCAGCTAAGGGGGTGAATAGGGTAAAGATGGCTGTAGATAGGACACCACCACCAAGGAGCCACTTTCCACCAAATCTACATGCAAGGTAACCTGCAGAAACAAGTCAATAACCATGCATTAGAGTTAGCATGCAGGCCTGTAGCAAGGATTTGCCAAGGGGGTTCACTTTTGAAAAATTCCAGGGGGGTTCACTTGTGACAATTTTAGTCCAAAAATGGCCAAAATCACTTAAAAAGTGCTCAGAATGGTGAAAAACTGCATGATTTTGAATGATCTTTTGGCCAGGGGGGGGGGTTCGCTAGAACCCATCGAAGCTCCCCTGGCTACGGGCCTGGCATGGGTTGGCAATCTGATTTATCAGTCCTTCTTAAGCTTATGAGAGACTTGGCTAGTATTCCATGGGATAGTACAGGCTGTGGATCCCACAATGAAGAGTATTGGGGCACAGCTACTTTGTTGAAAGAAAGATGGCATAGTGGTCTGAAAGGAAATAAATAGACACACCACTGCTACCACATATCTGTTTACTTGGCCCCTATGAGTATTAGTAAGGAGTAACTAAATTAATGTAAAAGGTGTCCATTAAGTCTCTACAATTATAATACAGAGTCTGTGTAAGGTGTAAAGAGACTTTATGGACACCCTGTATATTGCAATCTTCAATTCAAAAAAGAATTTACTCTGCGATACTCTGACCTCTAGTATCTCTTTAGCCCCAGATTTATTTTCTTGGGTGATAAAGTTTTTTTGCCCCAGGTCATTTGACTTACCAAGGCAACCATTTCAATTTAAATATCAATGTTAAACTAAATATATTTTGGTGGATTAATGAGGTACATAGATAGAAATAACTCACCTCCTGGTAACTGTGTGAAGATATAACCAAAGAAAAATGCAGAGAGAATCTTCCCTTGTGTAGCCATGTCCCAATCGAATGCTGGCCCCTCCTATGTGTATATGAAACAAGGCATAAGTATAAAGTAATAGGGAGGAATATCTTCAAATCTTCAGTTCTGATAGATATTGAATGCTTCATCACTGTGATAAAATCTAAGAGATTGGTCAATAAAAATCATCTGTGTTAAAAAGCGTCCATTACTTATTGATCACCCCTCGTAAGTTTCACAAAGATAGTCAAAGAATATGTGTTGCACCTGGGCCAGGCTACTTATCTGTGGTAATATTCTAACTTACATGTATTGCTGTCCCATTTTTGTCCCATGTTGTTCTGTTGTGCGTCATGGCAACAATGGCAATACTCATGTTAAACCTCATAGAGTAAATATTAGCTAAAACAGAGACATATGAGTATAATCATTTATTAAAGGACTAATAGCTGTAATTCTCAACATGAATAATGAGGGGTTACATTAACAGCAGGCAACAGGCAATTTTCACCAGTTGTTTTCACAAAATTGCCTGTTGTTTTTAGGGACTTTTCATCCATGTTAAATTTATGATTTCCATTAATTTTGCCTGTTGTTTTCATTTGTTTAGCCTGTTGTGAGAAATTCTAATGAAACCTCTGATAACCCTAAAATATTTTTATGTACTTACAATGAATAGACAATTTATATAAACCCTCCTTTATGTAATTACCGATACTTAAAAATCATTTATGAATCAATATGAATATGAATCAATATGAATTGAAAATATTTAAATTAATTGTTTCCTTACCAAATCCTAGAAATGAGATTAAAGCTAAGATATGTCTTTTTGGAATGTTCTGAATGCAGCACCCGATTGCAGATGTGAATCCACGGTTTTCCTCCCCTGTTATTGCTGATCTTTCTGTAAACTCCTTCATCTGAACTTGTCGTCTCTCCTCCTCCATACTAGTTATGATTGTCAAGGTAGGTTATTATTTTGTAAGTCTGTGGTTATTTACCATGAGGTGATCTGAAATTGTACAATGTACTATCATTTACATGAACTTGACTTTTGACTGCCTTAAACAAAATCTGGTCTGTCTGGGAGTATATTCATTCCAACCTTATCTATGAAATCAATGCATGGGGAGTACATGTAAGTCACCCGTCCCTCTTATATTCTGTAGCCTCTATTAGAAGAGGGGAATTTACAAAATTTTATACATTCTTCAGAAAAGTCGCCATTTAATCTGATTCAAAGCTCCGACTGTAGCACTGTAATCCTAACAAAATTCTGCATCTAGTCCATCTGAAACTTTTCTACTTCAGGTACTTTTTATCTTCAAAAAACAAAGAAACTGTCAAGAAATTAGCATTTACATAATGACAATCGTACATTTGAATCAGATTTATAGTGACATTTCGGAGGCAGGTATATAATTTTGTAAATTCCTTTCTTTTTATAGAGGATATTGAGAGGGGTGACTTATTCCCCGTGAATCAAGGCAGTACTGTAATATTACCCCATTTTTATAACATTGTCGCAACAATGACCATGGGCTTTCAATTAGACCATGCAATGACCAAACACAGTTTAGTTTTCTGCACTTCAAGTATCAGTCCTAATTTTTCAACTTCCCGATCTCAAGCCTACTGTAGGCACCGGAACAGATAGTACTAGTCTAGAATTGACCGAAATGAAAATACAACCCCCACTCTCTTGGTACCGAGGAAAAATTTGGTCAATTCTACTATCAGTTTTGGTTGCATGTGATCTCAAGAGAACCCCGGAAGAGAACTTACCCTGCACGGTTTACTGAAATTTAATTACTGGTCCATGGAAAACAGGAAACAGCTGTTACAGCACTTTTGTAGTTTCTGACAGTTGTGGAAAATATTGCCTGATGAATCCAGTTTATTTTTCAAAGAATGGTGTGAAATGTTCACCTGCTGCTGTCAATGATATATTGATATAATAGAAATATATAATTGAGTCAAGCTAAACTCGCAATATGTTTAGTGTGCTTTGATACGTGCATAAATTATTACTTTATTTACATTTTCTGACAAACGGAAGTCACCAAAATTTCATATGCGTAATTGAGGTGCGCAGTGGTAATTACTAAGTTACCCGAGTTTGTTAACGGCATTTTGATTGGTTCAGACTTTATGGCCGCTTTCTTTGCAAAACTACTATTATAAATTTTTAACATATTACATGGATATAATTGAATAATTAAATAAAGCTCATATTTATTTGGTATAATTACTGTTAAAATAATTTACCAATAACGACCAAATTTTATCATAAAGCTAGAAAACATTAATACATAAATATTTGATCCACCAATCAAATCGTTTGTTCTAATCAGAGTTCGGGAAAGGTGACGTCATTTCACATTTACAAAAATCGGAAACGGAGACTTCACTACAACACTAAATAGTGGAAGGATTTACTTCAATTATCGCTTTTCAGCGCCAAAAGACATTCTTAAAAGGACCAGAGATGGGTCCATTGGTGCTATTTCTGGGATTCCTCACATCTCAGGTCAGTGGGACTTACGTTGAGGTAAAACATTATGTTGTACTTTTTCAACATTTTTCTGTTGACATCCGATCCTTTGTGCCCCATTTTCAGTTCACATTCTTCACATATTTTATCAACAAATCTAACCCGAATTGTCAGGCAATGTCTTTATATTTTTGTTTTTATATTTCCCTAAGTTTTACACTAATTTATGTGTGGAAGGGAAAGGGTAAAGAGAGGTAGAAGTGTGAATCTTATGGGACGGTGAAAACTTTATAGATTTAGTTCATAAGAATAGCATTACATTTACATGTTTTCCGGTATCAGTTTGATATTTTTATCTATCATTCAGATGGTGGGGTATTCTTCAAAATATAGAATAGATGAAAATAGGAAAGCTGAACTAAAGAATAGAACACAAACCGAATAGGTTTTAGGTTGACTCATAATATTCAAGTTCAGTGTTTTGTCATCAACATTTTGGAATTACCAACTCAATACTGAAAGTGAAATAAATGTTTTATCACCCTTTTCAATCAAAAATGACTGAAAAATAAGATTCGGTTTCAGTAGTCTGTATTGACATTTACAAAGGTTTCTGAGACAAGCATACAGGAACTAAGATATTTTCCAATAATCCCCTAGTTCTACAGAATATCAATATTGTCGTTTTACATAAACAGGATGATACACACGGTAGATCCATCAATTATTCAAATACATAACATTATGTTCAAAAGGTGTACTGAGTCAGTGTCTAGCAATTTGATAACTGAGTCATTATTGTTCTATATTATTATTATTATATTATTTTAATCTCTATTACTATATTATGTTATTATAATCTTTATTATATTTAACGCTGGATGCCATAAGTGTATCATTGTTAATATGATAAATGAGGACTAATGGTATTCTGCAGATAGAAATTAACAAATTACAAAGCGCAGATGAATTACATTATTGCCCAGCTTATAATTTGGTAAAACCTCCACAATGACATTAGCCTTCTGTTTAATTTCCTGTATACAGACAGACAAACTACTGGTCCCTTTTAGTAAACTAACAAGCTTCTGGTCCCTTTTTATATACTGACAAGCTACTAGTCCCTTTTTGTATACTGACTACAGCATTGTTATAACCATTTCAATTAGACTCTAGTTGAAAGCCCTTTTTATAACTTATCAATAGAGAAAAAGTGTACTATGGGGGTCTACTTTTTGTGGTTCATGATAATATGCAGATAACAATGTCAAAATATGAATTATTATTCTATATTCTCCCTCAAAACAGATACCACGTGAAAATTACACAAACCTGCAGTTTTTAGTCTAGTTGGGGATAATGAGGTACATAAGTCCCAAATTCTACACAGATGACAAAATTATACTTTTCATCTTTTGTTTACCAGATATGGACATATATGGAGATTTTCTCAAAATATGTAAAAACAGAGTTGCTACCCTAACCCTGAGTGTTAGGGCCAAGTTACACAGATGAAGCTATCTTTTAAGAGACCAAATCAACCCATTGGAAATGATAACCAGTTGCATGGTATTTTAATTATATTTGTATCAAGTATTAGATACAATTTTACAGAATAGCATTAGAAGTACAGTCACTTGGTACATGTTTAATGGAGACATACAAATATTTCAGACAGAAAAATACCTGGCCACTTTATATGTACATGTCTGAATTAATCGCTTAGCCCCATGGCATTAATTTTCTGCCAAGTATCCTGTGTTTTTATATTAAATGTGGTGCAACACATAAATGTAGATTTGGTTTGTAATTTGTTGAAATAATATTATGTTATATGATTTAACATTAGCTATTTTTCAGTTTACATTTCTCTTATGTGTTTCGCAGTGGTTACATTTTAATCCTTAATTTTACCCTGCATTTTATATTGAGGTCGTAGACTTTTCTTTTAGCGTATGTTCAGACAAATGAAGGCTTATTTTTCTGAATCTTCTGTTGCCCCGAGACTTATGAGAATTACAGCTGAAGGGGTTCCAGTAGTATAGAGTTAGGCTAGTTAGGAAGGGGAGGGGCTTTAAACACACAAAATTCTAGTTAATTATGAATGCTGGATAGTCATCATTAATGAAAAGGAAATAACTTAACGAGATAACTTTTTTTATACTGATGCTCATCTAACATAAAAATACACTTCAGTAATTTTTTAGATTAATAATTTATATTGTTGATATTGTTTACATCTTTGAAATAGGATGTGTTATAAAAGACCTATGTTTGCTTTATGTTTGGTCTGGTGTGTTTGTATTGTTTGATAAAATAAGCGATGAGAGATAAGTGCATCATGTAATTGTTTTTTACTTTGATGATGAGATATAAACCTTTCAATTTCTCATGCTGCATGACCTTCACCCTTTTCATTCCTGTTTCTTTTATCACTACTCTCAAGCATTAGGCATTGACTCTCTCAGATACAACTTTATGGCTAATAAATACGAAAAGTGCTCACAATTGTGAAAAACTGCATGATTTTGAAAGAATTTCTGCCCAGCAGTCCCCCTTTGGCTATTGGCGTGATATCTTTATTGTATTAACAATAATTCAGCTAAGTAAAACTTAGACATGATTCCAAGAGTTGAATATATAAGCACAAATGCCAAAAGAGAAAGAAAATGGTCTCTCTGGCAGCTTAACAAATGGTGTATTAGTGGTGCAGAATTCTGCAGTTTGACCTCAAAGTTCGTGATAAAACATCAGCTGGTCTGTTTATTTAAGACTAGAACAGTCTGACAGTAACTTGAGTAATCATATATAATTGGGCTAACTACAAAACAATCATAAAGCAAAGAAAAGGATGAAAATATGTGTTAATTCAAATAAAAAACAAATGTTCAACATCTTTCTAGATTCTAGAACTCTCTAATTTTTATAGTAACCTTCTTAATTGCTAAGAGAATAGGGAATTCTGTATTATGAAAGACAAGACAAAATTTGAAGATATGTTGACTTTTAAATCCGATTAGTTCATGTAAGTCTTGACAACAAGGGTGGGGAAGATGGTAGAATAGTCGGAGCGCCAGAGATTTGATGCAATACTCTACGAGATGACATTTCTTTGACTTAAGTAATTTTTCAAAATCTGCTGTGATTTCCCTATTATCAGAGTGCTGCACCTACAATAGGTTTTGAAAATAAGTCTGCAAACCCATTTTGCACCCAACTGAAATTCATGAAAAAGTTCTCATAAATTATGAAAATGAGAATTTTTCAAAGAATCCCAGGAGACCCCATCTGGGTCATGTACTATAGAATCAACCACTGTAGTATTCAACACACATCTTCTTGAGGACAACTGGCAGAATTAATTAGCCATACTCTATAAGCTAGAAATACTTGAATACAAGTGTAAATTGGCTCTCAGTTGCGTAACCTCATTACATCTATGTAATTTTGGGCAAGTGTTTTCTAACAGAATGTGTTCCTTATCAGCATAACCTCCAAGACCCCACTCCACACTGTATGATAAGTCAGTTTCCAATAACACATACAAACCCTTAGAAAGAGGAAGTCATAGACCAGATTTCTCTTGCATTGAAATACAATACATGATGAAAAGTTGATTAAGACAATTGGATAGTCCAGTAGGGTAGGGAGGTTCTATCCTTCAGGTAGTGGGGTATATTTTATGAGAAAATCATTTTTTAATTTTTTAACTCTGGGAAGTTTATGGATGGTTCAATGCTGAGCCATGGGAGAGATCAGTATGTTACATTTTATGGCTCTATTGACTTGCACCTTTGAGATTATGGGAAGTAGACTTATCTTGGTTAAAAAACGTTCATTGTATATATCAGGAAAAAACACCATCTGCATTTCCCTGTAGTGTCTCATTCTAGTGGAAGCCAACTTAATAAGTGAAAGCAGAATGCATTTGACTGCACTGGTGATTCATGTCTTACTTAGCCTCTGGCTGTGTTGTAGTGAATCAGACTTTTCTTTAAGAAAGATACATTTCTAGTCGTAATTGTAATTTGTGTTTTGAGTAAAAATTCTGTTCAAAGAATTACATCTCATTTATTTTTTAGAGCAATACATTTCTTTTTCACCTGTCTATTCATTTCATATTGTAGCCATATTTAAGTTGTTAAAAGAAGCAGGATATACTTCAGAATCACTGGATTTCACACTGAGTTTCTTTGCAAGGCATTAAAACATATGTACTAGTACTGAGGGTTATAAGATATATAGAAATTGTAATTTCAAAGTTTGGCAGTGATATCAAGGTAGTCTAACTTAACAAGCCCCTGTGACTCTCCCACTATCTGACTGCTAAACAGGTATGACTTTCTTTGCAAGACATTGTAGGAGTACTGAGAGAAATTTTAATTTCAAAGTTTGAAAATGATATCCAGGTAGTCTTCCTCATCAAGCCCCTGTGACTCTCCCACTACCTGTCTACTACACAGGTATGAAAACTTCTCTTGTAGGGACTCTGGGGAGGTGTATAGGGGAGGCTACACTATGCTCACATTGTTAAACCAGTGTATTCCTTCAGTCATATTTAATATCTTGATGGATCAAGATGCGCCATGCTATATAGAAGTCTATTTTAGCAGTGCCATATTAAAAAGTTTAAGTATCACCCAATAGCATAGCATTCTATTGATCATCAAACGTTTTTCATTACGTAATGGCAAATATTGTAGACTTTTATGTATATGAATACTGGCACTAATTAGATGTATGTTACCTTCTTGTATATAGAGGGTTTTACTGTGTATTCATCAGAATTACCACAAACATTTAGACAATAAATTATCAATAATGTTTATGCAGAAATAAGTTGTGTGTTAAGTTCTTATTACATGACTGTCCTTTGTAACAGCTTCTATTATTATATTGTCTTAATAATTCATCTATATGCAGAGTGTCTAGACAGTAAGTGTTCATTAACGTCTAATTATCTAGCTGGTTAATCCAACTAGAGTTACCATGAAACTTCATTTTCTCTTGCCCATGAACAATGTTATTTGCCCTAT